ATATGGATATCGCTACTATGCAAATGTGTTGGTTTTTATTGACAATTTTTTAAGTGTATTGGAGAATGCGTTAGGTCGTTCTTGCTGGGCCACCTCTGGATTAAATCATAGCTGGGCAGCGTCTGCCCGGCGGGCGGCCGCGCGGCGTATTCGCATATACATACACGCTCTGCTTGGGAAGACAGCGAAAGCTTCATTCAACTGCACGACCAGTGTTGCTTTTTGGCCCAACCGGCTAAATTTTCTAAAAATAACGGCTAAAATGTTTCAGCAAAAATAAACATGTTTATTTGAATAAAGTTGAAAGACTTTTTAATAACTTTAGTGGAATTCCAAAATTTTCTAAACTTCCAAAACTTTGTGAATTTGAGAAATTTTAGTAAATCCCAATAATTCAATTAATTCAATATAATGATGAATACTAGATTTCTAGAAATTTTTTATTTTTCAAAAATTTGGAGAATTGTAGAAATTCTAACAATTTTTTTTTAAGTAAAAGTGTAGAATATACAACTTTGATCAAACGAAATTAAAAGTTTTCGAATGTTGAGAAATTTTCATATTTCGTCGTTTTTAAAAATTTTAAAAATTTTCGTAATTGAAGATTCAAAAAAATTTTGGGCGTTGATTTCAAAATTTTCAAAAAATTTAAAATTCTCAAACTTTGTTATATCAATACAAAATTTTGGAAAAGTTCAGAAAAGTGGAACAATTTTGGAATTTTTCAAAAATGTTAATATCTTTTAGAATTCTAAGAATTTTCTATTTTTTACACACGAGTACATGAACATAAGAATTTTTCGACAATTTGTGATTTTTCACATTTTTACATTTTAGGATGGATTTTAGGAAATTTTGGAAAATATAAAAATTTCTAAAATGTCAATAATTTTGTACATTTCAAAATATTCTCATTTTATATTTATTTATAGTTTTAGAAATTTTGGAAATTAGCCTAAAAATAGGAAATCTCAAGAAATTTAATAATATTATAAAACTCAAAATTTTGGAATTTTCGTTGTTTTCTGAACCTGTGAAAATATTCAAACTTGCTGTGACTTTCAACTGTGTAAAATAATACAAATTCGGAAATATAACAAAAAAACTGAAAATTGAAAATTAAGTACATAATTTCAAAATTTTGAAAATTCGGTGAATTCGAAAAACTGATTAACTTAAATAACACAATACTTCGAGCTTAGCACACAGCTATAATCTCAAACTCAAGTGAAATTTTACACACATTTTCCATGAATTAAAATTTTCAAAAGCATCCATTCATTAAGTTTGTTCCCCAAGCTTCTCGAAGTCACTTCGAGTTACATATACGCGCTCCGCAAGTAAGTTTTCGAGTTTCTTTGATATACACTCACAGCTTGAACTTTGCTCGAGTTTTTCTACAAGTAGCTTGTGGGGCAAACCTGTTATATATTCTTGTAATGATATTTCACGATATTCAGTTGAATATTATGAAAATACATGTTACACAGTCTTGGGGGGAGGTTAAATTTCCCCAATTTAACCCAACCTGGGTCCGCCACTGATTAAAGCTCATCAGAAGTCAAAAATCATCGATAAATGCTAGGTACTTTTAATTTTGACTTTATTATATTAAAATTTTAAGTTTCTAAAGATGCTGATTAAAAAGTTAAAAATTTTGGTGAAAATTTGCAGAATTTTCATAATCAGCCTTATCATGAGTTTAATTTTCCCCGAACCGGTTCACTTTTGCTTTCCATGTATTTACTATGTGCGGAATAAAAATTTTGGGGTGAAAGTTTTTTCGTGCAAAACTCAGGATAAGGCCGAATATTTTCACAAAGTATGAAGTCTGGACTAAACGGTATTTTTTAAGTAATCAGCTTTATTTTCATAAAAAAGAATAAGTATTGAATTAACTAAAAAAATAGCCAAAACTTGCTAAAATGTCACGTCCCAGTTTATATGTACATGGGTCACTGTATATTCGCTTAAATAAAAATCATTGAAGTCGGCCCAGTATTTGAAGACTTTTCGGATTAGAAAAAATTGTCTTTTAGTTGTATATACATACATATGTACGCCATGAAAAATTTCTCCGAGATAAGGCAAATCATTTCTAATAGAGTTTGTAGAAATGGAAACTTATGTATATAAATTTAAAAAAAAAATTCCAAATAGCAAAATCGGCTAAAGCCGGCTTATTTTTTTTGGAAAAGCGGCTAACAAATCGGCTGCCGGCTAAACCGAATTTTTTCCGGCTGTTTGCTTTCGCAACCGGCTAAATCTAGCCCGAAAACGGCTAAAATGGCAACACTGTGCACCACTTGTTCGCACGCATCCAGTGACATCAATTGCACGCACACTACAAAAATGCTCTGTCGAAGCTGCCCACCTCTGCTTTAAATCAATGCTGGGCATACCACCATAGTCTCCCCCCCCCAACCTTTCAAATTATTGCCTAGATATTCAAAAATACTACCACGAAATGCTTGCTTGATAATTTCGGCCCCCCCTAAATTTCAAGGTTTTTCCTATATATATACTGTATAACAAATTATACTCCCAACGCTAACTAAATAATTAGTAAATTGATATGAAAAGTAGATATGTGGATCATCCGGTTCTGTATCAAGTTATTATCTCTAACTTCAAAGCACTTCCATTTTAAAAGGGTAAAAACCTGGCTGCAGTCGACAATGAGCAAAAATTTATTGAACGGAAACTATAAATAAATTTATAGTTCAATTGTTTATTACTTTGTCTTTAGGTTTGTGTCTTTACTAAGCGGTTGGGTGAACAGCCAAGACGTTTACTTCTAAAGTGTGACAAAACAAAATCAAGTAATATATTTAGCATAAATAAATATACCAGCCTAAAAAATCTGCGTACTCAAAATGTTCAATACGCCCTCATACTTATACATACATACATATGTATGTATATCATTTAACGTTTTGTCCGGCTATTTGGTTTATTATACAGGTATGTAGAGCGAATTTAAAAAAATTCATCAGGGTTTAGTTGAGATATTCGTTTTTGGCCACTATGTTTTGTACATTTCCCAGTACTGCAAAGCTTTTGACGGCCATTCACCTGGGAGTGGCCAGAAGTGATTCGTGTGCTTACGGTTCAAATCGCAGCTAACTACGTCCGGATATTTATATCCATGAATACTCTTGGTAGCGACCGAACGCTAGTTTGGGAGCGAGGTAAAGTGGGAGGGCGTAACACCCCGCGTGCGCTGGGGATTAATCGGGATGGTGCCTCTGCCCGGCTGGTTGAAGTCCTAGGGAAAATAAAGGCTGACATCAGCTCCATCCACGAAATGCGATGGACGGGGCGAGGAAGGTAAGCGTGAGCCTTGCGACGTCTACTACAGTTGCCACGTAAAGGAGTGCAATTCGGTGTTGGATTTGTGGTGGGAGAGAGACCGGCGTTCACTCTAGTGGACGAAAGTCTAGCCACAATCCGCATCAAAGCGAGATTCTTCAACATCTCATTCACATGTGCCAATGCCCCGATGGAAGAGAAGGACGAGGCATCCAAGGCTCTCTTAGCTTAGAGCGTACATATTAGCGCTGCCCCCGACACGTATAAAAATCGTGCTTGGCCATTTAAATGCCAAGGTGGGCAACGAAGGGATCTTTGGTGCCAGTGTCGAAAAAATCAGCCTCCACATAGAAACGGCGGGCTGAGGATGATCCACTTCGCCGGGGCCCGAAGCTTGGCAGTATGTATTACTGGGTTCTAGCATAAAAACATCCATCAAGCTATTCTCATTTTCGTTGTTGGTGTTTCCGACAGGGTAGGAGTGTGATGTATTGTGGAACGATTTTCCGTCGTCCCTTGTCAAATTTGGTTTGGAGACAAACCGGTTTCGGCGTTGTTCCATCTTCAGTGTCATTTTTCGTTCTCTCAAGCTACATGGATGTCTCCACATCGAAAAACGGGAAACCAAATCGAGCATGTTGTGATAGACGGAAGACATGCTTCCATGTTTTAGATGTACATACGTACACTCCGAGGGCCAAACATCGACTCGCACTACTATATTGATGCATCCAATATACGACCTAACCTCGGAGAAGCAAAAAAAGGGCCCCCAACAATGCAGGGAAAGTTCAACGTCGAAAAGCTGCAATCAAAACAGACGGCCAATGGATTCGGCGCTCGACCCTCACACCTGCTGTGAGAGAGCACTCTTCAACAAACCGACTTGCGCGAGCAGTGGAACCACATTTCCCGCTAATTACTGGTACGATCACGAGTGTGAGAAAATGCTTGAAATGCTGTCCGACAGAAAAAAACACCGAAATTTTTAGCAGAGAGTTGAGCGACTTACGGAAGGTTTCAAGACTCTTGTATGAACAACCATGGCGACCTAGTGACCGATGTCCAGAACGTACTCAGATTATGGAGGGAACACTTTTCGACCCTTTTGAATGGCGGAAGCACTTCGAGGTCCCAGTCGATGACGATGGAGTCGATATCCCAGCGCCTGACTATGAAGAAAAGTGCCAAAGCTGTTTGAGCTGACGGCCTGTCAGCTGAGCTATTTAATTACGATGGCAAGGAGGTAATAAGGTGCATGCCCGACGACTGGAATTCAAGTGCGCTCTGCCCAATCCACAAGAAAGGCGACCCCGCCATGCGTACCAACTACCGCGGGATCAGCCTTCTAAGCATAGGTTGCAAGGTCTTATCGAATGTATTGTCTACCATAGACCAGGTATTCACAGTACGCCGAATCTTGGAAAAGACCCGCGAGAAAATGATCCGCACTCACCACCTATTTGTCGACTTTAAAGCCGCTTTCGACAGTACTTAAAGGTATATGCCGCTATGTCTGTCATACGCCTGTGAAAAATGACGTTGAGTAATACCACCAGCTCTGCTCTGTTGCCTTTCGCCACCAGACGGGGTTTCAGACAGGGCGGCTCTCTTTCATGTGGCTTCTTTAATCTGATGTTGGAGAAGATAATAAGATCTTCAGAACTGAACCGCTTAGGAACAATTTACTACAAGAGCGTACAATTGCTGGCTTATGCCGATGACACTGACATCATCGGTAAGAAAAACCGCGAAGTCTGTCCTGACTTTTCCAAGTTGGACAAGGAAGCAAAGCGAATGGGTCTGGTGGTAAACGACGACAAGACGAAGTATCTCCTGTCATCAAACAAACAATCAGCACATTCGCGCCTGGCACCCACGTCACTTTTGACAGTTATAATTTCGAGGAAGTAGAGAATTTCGTTTACTTGGGAACCAGCATTAACACCTGTAATAATGTCAGCATGGAAATCCAACGCAGAATCGCTCGTGCCAACAAGTGCTGCTTTGGACTGAGTAGGCAATTCAGGAGTAAAGTCCTCTCTCGACGTACGAAAACCACACTATAAATCACTCATCATGCCCGTGCTGGTATGTGGCGTATTAAAATACAGCGGCTCAACTGGCTTGATCATGTCGTTCGAATGGACACCGACGCCCCAGCTCTGAAAGTATTCTGGCTTCACTTGGCATTTCTAATAGGCGTCAGTTGGTCAAAATCGCTTTGGCGGTTACAGCGCCAAAAAGGAAGAAGAGGAAGAGAATAGATCTATAACCTTATCAGTCACACAGTGTTATAATCCCGACGAAATCCTTGACGGTGGTACCGGGAGGGGAACGGTACATGACGGTAGGAATTTTAGTTTGGGTTAAAGTCTCACACGGAAGGGGTTAGGCTTTCGATGCTTCCTCCTCGTAAAATAAACATGCTCAGTAAAAAGTTAACAATTTAAATCGACGAATAGTTTTATATCAACTTTTGTGAACTTCTGTTTATTTGTTTTTTGTACAACATATTTACCTTTATTGGTTACAATAATTTTAAGCTATAATAAAACAAATTTTAGTACATAAGTAAGTTATTGGTTTTGAATTTTTTATTTTGTATGGGCCCCCCCCCCCCCTAAATTTCGTTCTGGCTACGCCCATGGTTAGGTCGTTCCCAGTAAGAACCCCATCTGTTAACTAATGCGTTATATACGCCGAGTACTACAAATAGTTTGTGTGAGAAATTCAAAAACTTGCCATCATTTTACATAGGGCTCCTGGAGGAATCTAACGCATAATCGTTTCATGTGTGAGCAGTTTTCTCTTTCTTTTATATGGAATTCGCTATTATATTATAGTGGTCTCTTTTCAAACAAATTTTATTATGCGATTAATAACGCGTTATATAAAGCAAATAATGGCATATGGATATCGCTAATATGCAAATGTGTTGGTTGTTATTGACAATTTTGTAAGTGTATTGGAGAATGCGTTAGGTCGTTCTTGGTGGGTTCTTGCTGGGGTGCGTCGATGGTTGCCACGTTTTTATAAACGTACTGGTATTTTTCGTGCATGTGTCTTTTGCCCTATTTTGTTTATACGTATAGTGAAATAATGAATCGTGGAAGTTTTTAGTAACTAATACTATTAGTTTATAGAAACTTTTCCATACGAAATATCTAATACTTGTAAAATTTTAAAAAATTTAAATAGGTTTAACTCGTTTGTTTAACACCTGGACACAATTTTATTGGAATATAATCTTTGAAATTCTGGCCGGCCAGATGATTTCGGTGTTTAGATTTTATCATTTTCATATAAATAGGAATTTAGAACTAAAAATAGAATATACCTTATATATATTATCCATTAAGTACTTTTGCGTATAAACCAGCATTTAAGTTTCTATATCGATTTCTTTAGATAGAAACAAATTATTCTAAAATATGGCATGCAATTTGTGCATTTTTTTATAAAAACCATGGAACTTATTACAAAATTATTGAACGTTGGTCAGCAAGCAGCTCATTTTATATATTTTTTAAATTGACAAAATACAGTTTGCTTATATTAAAAATACGTAGGCATAACCGCATAACGGATATTGTGGATTGTTGGAAGTTATTTGAACAATAAACTCTAGTTCTTATATAGGGTAGCACTATTTTGTGTTTGAATCGTCGCAAATGCATGCACCACCAATCTAAGAAAAACAATCCACTTTTTGCTTTGGGGATTTTTTGTAAATTTTCTATACAAAATGTGGCAAGCGAAGTAGGAAGATGTTACCTTGGTGAAATCTGCAACCAGACTGAATCGAAATTCGCTGCTTTGCTTCTGTGTACCAGGGATGAAAAATCAAATTTTCAAATTGTACCTAATTTCACAATATAAATGTACCTTTTTGCTGTCAAATGTACCTAAAAAGTAGCCCACGATTTTGTTAACTTTTTTTTTTATTATTTTCAGACAATTGGTAACAATTTAATAAATTTATACATTATTTGCATTAACAAGAAAGTGATTAATATATCAATACAGTTGAATTAATATTCATAACAATTCAGTAAATAATAATTTTAATGCTCTCACCCTCTAGGATCGTACTTTACCGAAAAATTTGATTTAGTTAGAAATCAAAAAATTTTTAGGGGTCGCTCAAAGCAATCAAAGTTTTCCATGTATTTTATATTGGGAAAAACATGTTTTCGTAGAAATGGTATAGAATTTTTGAAACCCAATATTTTTCGATCGGAAAACTTTGTTCCTCTTTTGGAGATTTTTAAAAATATTCCCCATTTGTTTATTCAACCATTTTACATTATTAACTATTTCTTAAGGCGCTGGCCCAATGCAGACTTGCTTTGCACGCCTTGCTTACTTTAATTTGCTTTGATTTACTTCAAAAACTCGTTTGGCCAAATGGCGGCTTGGAACGCTGTCAAAGCAACCAGCTGTGTAGTTGAAAAGTCAAGGTCTGTTTCCTTACACTAAGAATAATTTTGCGATCAAATTCCAGAAAATTAAAAAAAAACAATACACAACAATATTTTCAGATTTATTTTTAAATGAATGTGAATTAATTTTTGCATTTCAAAGGAATGATAATAATTATACATACATATATAACTATATGTACATTTATTAGAAACAAAAAACTCAAAAAAATCGATTTTTCAAGAGACGACTTACCAGTAGTTTGACATAATAAATATCGCTAGCTTTGTGTGAAAAGTTAATAAGTCTGCATTTTATGAAGCCTCAAATTTTGGCATAGAAAGTAAGAGAAATTGAGGACTAAGGTAGATACTTGTTTTATTTTTTCTCGTTTATATTCAATATGCAATATGGCCAAAATAATACGAATTTTTTTAACAGAGATCGAATCCTTCTGATTTGTATGGTGTTTTGCTTTGCTTTAAACACGCAAAATGTTGTATTCAGAGTTCCTGTAAAATTTGTAAAATTGGACTTAGCAACTTTTCACTTTAAGCCAGCGACATGTTAAATATAAATATGGAAACTTAGATTACTTTTTATTACACTTTGAATTACTAATATTATACATATATTTTTTTAAATTACGTAAAACAATTTTTGTATCTACATAAAAGTCTGCAGCAGTTTGTTTGAATTGATTTAGAACGGGAACATATCTTTTTGTCAAAAGCCTATGAAACGCTTTCAAATAAAACATTTGCCTATTTGAAACTTTGAGGCGCTTAAAGCAAGTGAAGCAAAGCTGCCATTTGGCCACCCTTCATACGTTTTAGTATATTCCAAATAACTTTTGACAGTTTTCAAAGCTAAGCAAGCAAAGCAAGCCATTGGGCCAGCGCCTTTATAGGGCCCCTAACACCCTCAAAAAATGCAATGGTAAAATAAACAATTGGATATTATTATTGGCAGTATCCCAAAGAGAAGCAACGTTTTCCGATCAAAAAATATTATTTGCAGGAATTCTATACCATTTCTACGAAAACTTGTTTTTTCCCCCATATAAACTACAAACTTTGAGCTCTTTGAGCGACCTCTAAATATTTTTTGATATAAATAAGGGGTATACTTTTTTTCGTTATCATTCATTCATTCATTTGATTTAACCCTGCTTATAAACTGTATTTTTTAAGCAGGCTTTCTAATAATTACATTTGAGTTTACAGGTTTGAGAATTACATAATTATTCAAAAATATACCGAAAGTGAAAGTACTTAAAAAACTATTTAAGAAAACGGCATTAGTTTACACAATTTTTTCATTTCATATGTTGGCTCTGAATCGTACACAGTTAACACAAAATAGAGGTACACCATGTTGACTGTAAATTGATCGGTCAGTTGAAATATATATGCATTGGATTGCTTTCAAACTCTTTTAGAAGTGTTCCTAGGTAGTAGTCCCTAAAGGAATAATAAATCGGGTACTTGAAGAGCAGATGCTCTAGGCTTTCCATTGGGCCTGGATTGCACTGCGTACATTAAGCATTTGGGTCTATTTTGCAAACCAGTAGTGCGATTCGGTAACTCTTAACGTTGCATTTGTCGAGTTGTTAATTAAGGATTTTTGTCGTTGTCGATAACGATTATGCGATTCACTAACTCATTCCTAACGACAGTGAACAGCTGACTTTTTCCATTAATTCAAATTGATAAAAAGTGGCATCTCCGCTGTTCGAAATGTCAAATTGGCGAAAAGCACAAAGCGGAACAGAAAAAAAAACAAAGCCATTTGTTCGCGCCGCTAATTTGCGTCTNATGCGATTCACTAACTCATTCCTAACGACAGTGAACAGCTGACTTTTTCCATTAATTCAAATTGATAAAAAGTGGCATCTCCGCTGTTCGAAATGTCAAATTGGCGAAAAGCACAAAGCGGAACAGAAAAAAAAACAAAGCCATTTGTTCGCGCCGCTAATTTGCGTCTACATATTGCAGCAAAGGGAAGTATATTTTGCTATTTATTTAATTAATATGTATAAGAATTTACTTTGTTCTTATATATATGTAATTTCAGAATGGCGTCTACCAGTGGAGCAGGAGCTAAAAGGAGTCGGGTATCAACGGAGCAGCTCAACGTGATGATCGACCTTCTCACGGAGAACGAAGGGCTTGCTTCCGGAAAGTTCCAGCGTCTCCACGGAAAGCTGGAGTACCAAAAGAAGTGGGCGGAAATGGAGGAAGTCTGTGGAACAATGGCATTCGGTAAGTACTTATCTTGTGTTTTATGTGTGTGTATATAGGAAGCAGTTTTCGAGAGTGCGATAAAAAAACAATTAGTATATATATATGTACATACTTGAAGTACAATTTTTTAACTAAAATGTGCAAATGAAGATTCAGGTTGTTGGTTAATTCGGAAAAGTAAATTTTAGTGTTCAAATTAATTTTTACATATTGGGTATGGTTTAGTTATTTGTGCAATGACTTTGGGTTGCTGTGCCCAAACGTGTGACCCGAATCAAAAAACGTTTACACACACTTATAGACAAGAGTATACACTTTATTTAAGCAAAAGGTTTACCATAGCCGTGCATTAATTTATTTATAATTTAAGTTTGAGATATGGTATTTTTGCAATCAAGGTGTCTTTTCATAAAGTGCGGTCCATCCTCTTTCTTTTAAGGGAGGTTTGGGGGGCCGCGCCAATACCCCCTACGCTCTCTACCCCAAAATCGTTGTAAAAATAGCTTAACATTTTATTTTCTTGGCCTTACAGCCTGGCTTTATATACCACATATTTGTTAACTATGTATTTCATTACTTTGCAAACAGGTCTGGCGCGACTTAAAAAGCCGTACAAGCGTACGTGTACGTGACCGGAAGAGGCAGCATCGATNCTTTGCAAACAGGTCTGGCGCGACTTAAAAAGCCGTACAAGCGTACGTGTACGTGACCGGAAGAGGCAGCAGGCTCTAACAGGCAACAGGCCCATCGACCAGCCGCCTTTAACGGAGATGGAGAGGCGGGTAATTGATCTGATTGGGATCAACTACATCGAGGGTCACGAAGCGGTTCCTGACAATGTGCCATTGGAAGAGGTCAGCTTATAGTTATACAAATCTTTCTATTATTATTTACTGCTTTTTTAATTTACTTTTAAACTATTAGGAGCTTCAATTGGTCATGGAGGATGGGGAGGATATTGTCTTCCATGCGGTGACGCCAGCGTCAGTGTTTGGAGCCGACAGCGAGGTGCAGGTCAGCACACCTAAAACTCCTCCGCAAACACCGCGTAGGACTTTGAAGAGGAAGGGGGCGGAGGAAGAAAGCGATGTCCAGAAAAAATGTCTGGAAATCGCTGAGAAGCAAGCAGATGCCTTGAAGGTGAGAAATAATTACACAAGTTTACAGAAATAAAAAATAAAAATTTCAACTTGTGGCATTTGACCATAATTTCATATGTAAAACTTTTCGCTAAACCCGAATATTAAGGCAAAATAATACAAGAATGTATAACAGATTTTACATACAGCCAAATGTTTTTTTTTTTGAGATCTGAAAAAAGTTCTTATACGTTTTTGCAATCTGAGATGTCTTAAAATTTAGTAAAGTCTATTTAGTAAAGTCTATAATTTTAAAGTCTAAATTTAAAAGAGATTGCAGATTGACTATATCAACAAAAAAAAAGCAATACCTTGAGAGACCTTTTTTCAGATCCCAAAAAACATAAATTTGGCTATATGTCAAAAACTGTTATACATTCTTATATTATTTTGCCTTGATATTTGGGTTCAGCGGAAAGTTTTACATATGAAACTATGGTCAAATGCCACAGGTCGGATTTGTTGTCGATTTGTATTAGATACTAGGCCCTATCGCGAATTTAACGTGAACAAATATTCCAAAAAATTATAAAGCAAAACAAAAACAATTTTTCCCAATTTGTTTTTGTTTTGCATGTCAAATAATGGGCACAATTTATTCACATGAAATTGGCGATAGGGCTGATTATATTTTAAAAACATCGTGTTAATATATACTTTTTATCAATAGATGCTGGCTGAAAACAATTCCAGACAAACGGATGTTTTGAAGGCGAGAAGTAATTATTTTTAGATATGGTTTACATAAATCGTATTAATATATACGTTTTGTCAATAGATGCTGGCTGAAAATACCGCAAGGCAGACGGAGGGGATGCTTGCAATGGCGCAGTCTATGACCGTCCTTAGCGAAGGGATGAAAGCCTGTGCCGAGGGTTTTAACCGACTCGCGAGTACTCTCCGCAACTCGTAAATAATATTAATAATTTAGGTTTTAAGAAATGTAAATTGTAGTTTTAAGTTAAGTTTTACTTAACAGTTAACAGCAAAAGTCTGCATACACCATTCATTTTTTAAATATTCGCAATATTTTGCAAGCTAAAATTCGTTTGTTATTTTTTTTATAAGAATATGGATCATCCTTAAAACAAAATCATACAAAGCAAGGTTTCAAGTTTTATACAAAATTAAGGAAAATTCTACGATTTTTAATCGACACTTTCAACTTTTTAATCAGATTTTATAAAATAACTTCAAGTACGCAGTTTTATTGCGCATGAAATTAAAAATCAACGCGATTTCGTAGCAACCTCATTTTTACACATTGTTATACTAAAATTTAAGTGTTCATTAAAAATCGTTGAATTTTCCTTAATTTTGTATAAAACTTGAAATCTTGCTTTGTATGATTTTGTTTTAAGGATGATCCATATTTTTATAAAAAAAAAAAACAACTAATTTTAGCTTGCAAAATATTGCGAATATTTAAAAAATGAATGGTGTATGCAGACTTTGCTGTTAAGTGTACACATATCATACAGGAGTTAATTTTATAGTTTTTGTTTTAATTTTCAAAATGAATTACTTATTTTTTCCTTTTATGTTTTAAAATAATTATTTTGTACCTTGTTCGTTATTGGTAAACCACCTACTGTTCTTTGATAAAAAAATAAAATAGCTTCGAAGTACTTTTTAGACTAAGAAGTTATATAAAATTTATAAAGTTTTCAAATATATTTTAATTTTTGCTTTATACGGTTATAGTGTATACAGTCACTCACAGAAGTATTCGTAATATAGTTTTTCATAATATTCAAAATGTTTTCAATCTTCACCTATTTTCGCTAATTTGAATTCAAAATACACCTCATTCTATAACAAAAACCTTAGAAATCAATCTTGTAAACTTTGTACAATGTTCACAAAAATTTATCAAACTTAAAAAAACGTTCATCAAAATTTCCAACTCTTTATTCAGAATCTTTAGAAAATTTTCGAGTATGCAGTTTTGTAGCCCATTCAATTTCGGTAAGATAAAATTCAAGTTTGATGTCGCTACAAAATACCGTTAATATTTGAGATTTCTTTTGTCGAGGGTGTTCAGCACTTTCTTCCATATAACGAATGAAAAAAATCAATTTTTACGTGGAACAAAATGCATAACACCCTCGACAAAAGAAATCTAAAATATTAACGGTATTTTGTAGCGACATAAAACTTTTATTTTATTATCCTGAAATTGAATGGGCTACAAAACTGCATACTCGAAAATTTTCTAAAGATTCTGAATAAAGAGTTGGAAATTTTGATTAACGTTTTTTTAAGTTTGATAAATTTTTGTGAACATTGTACAAAGTTTACAAGATTGATTTCTAAGGTTTTTGTTATAGAATGAGGTGTATTTTGAATACAAATTTGCAAAGATAGTTCAATATTGAAAATATTTTGAATATTATGAAAAACGATATTACGAAAACTTCTGTGATTGATTGTATATAAATTCAAAAGAAAAAACTTTAAGTATTTAGAAGACAAATCTAGTGCGAAGATAAACATGTAAATTTAAAATAAAATAGGTATTCATCTAAAAGCATAAATGCCTCGTAACTTGTAAATAAACTGGTTTTCGATACAAAATTAATTAAGTTTACGTGGTTACGAGGCTTTTATAATTTTAGATAAAATGCCCAAAAAAAAAGTATTTAGGAGAAAAAATTAGTAATTATTCGGTCTTGGACACATTTGCCAATGGAAGATACCAAAATTGATTTATAGTCGGTACCGTCTGCATGTGCATGTGTTTCTGCTTCTAAAATTATATTATTGTCCAGTTCATTTATTTGCTCGCGGAAACTTATATTATGCAAGGTTGAGCACGCATTTACAACCTTACCAGCAAAACCAGGAACGTATAGGAACACTCGTTGTTGTGTTAAGCATCGCCAAGTTCCTTTAAGCACTCCAAATAGTTTCCCTACTGGATTTCGAGCTTTGCATAGCGCCTCGTTGTACCAAAACTTAGGAGTACCCTCAGGTTGGTTCGGTAAAGGCCAAGCTCTAAGGGGTATCCAGAATCGCCTGAAAGGAACTTCATTTTAAATTATGTACATTTTAAAGTGAATTAAAAAGAATACCAATCAAAAGCATGTTGGGGTTTCCATTGTCAAAAGCTCTCTGCATGACTCGCCGCACTGGACAGGAACTCCAAATGTAAGAGTCATCTCGTGCTCCCGGAAACCTAGCATTGACGTTCAGTATGTTTAAATTTGGGTCACATATCCATAAAAGCATAACAAATATTTATCGCTCGACTTTTATTTAAAATACTTAGCTCACCATTTGAACATTTATCGAGTGATAGCCATGATGGTTCACCTATGCTTCCTCATGAGTTTTAGGACCCAAAATAGAAACATGCGTGCAGTCTACTGCTCCAATAGTTCCTCAAACGAAAGGCGCAGGTGCTGAAGCAAACACTTCCTTGGCAGCTTGACGGTCCACCTGCGTCATAGGGAACTTAACCTCCTCAAAAAATAGTCCACTGTTTATGGCATCAGTTACGCGATGTACTTATACAACGGCTTATAGATGATTGGCTCATTGATATGCCCAACTGTTCCCCTACAGGCCGTTGGTAGCATCCTGTGGCATAGAAGCGTAGTATACACAAAACCTTCAAAGATAAACGATTATTTGGGAAATGTTTAGTTATTTGTATAATGATTTTGTGATGCGGAGCGGAGGGGGAGATGGTGTGGCTCCTAAAACCATACCCGTTAGAAAGAACACAGTCAAAACTTTAAGGAAAGTCATCCCTCCCCTCTACAGACTACCGGGGGCCCATTTGAAAATGGGTTCACCCCATTAGCATTTCAACATGGAAACTTACAAAAAAGTCCATAATTAAAACCGATTTTATTTATAAACTAGCGCTTGGAAATTTGAAATCTTTGTTTTAAATTAAAGTTTAATCCTTGGAATACACGCGTATGTTAAACTTTTTAGATTCGAGTCACGCGTTTGGGCACATTGTACAAATAACTAAACCGTACCCGAGAAATTATTGTATACATACTACATATCCAAAATTGCATGCTGTCATTATTTAAAGATTTACCTATTTTTCCGCCGATATTGAGGTAATCCTTTTACCTTTCAATTGGATTTCCAGCTGCTGGATGAGCTCCATTGCAGTCTCTGGGCCCACACGATATAGCTTCCGGAACTCGGAAGGCGCCAGCTCAAATGGATCGTGAATGTCCCGGAGCAAACGCCGATCCACTGTGGGGGTATTTCTAACTCCATAGTTTCGGTGTAAACTATACGCCACATATTCAAACGCCATTTCTTTAATATAAATTCACTTTGGATTTACTTGCGCGCAAATTCGTTTGGTTAACTCAAACTTAACAACACCAAATGAGATGTCAATAACTTAACCATAAACGAATCGTTAACGAAACAGCTGATTTTGACTTAGCGAATATCGATAAGAAAGTACTTATTGAATAGCAAAATCTTTAAAATTATCGTTTAGCTAAATTAGCCACTGCGAATGTCGTTAAACAAGTTACCGAATCGCACTACAGGCCTTTGATACAAAACGTTATGTGATACTTCGTGGGCAGCCGAACTTGAGCTAAAATTTTACTCAAATTTTTCCTATCTTACTTATATGTATATACTTATCCATCGTTGCAAGAATAAATTCCCGCCATAGTACAATCAGATTACAGATACTTCCGCCTTTAATTATATTCTTCCGCACTTTCAACTTATTCACAATTGAAATTGGTGCACATGCAGTGTAGCCACTTTGCTAGAAATCCCTCAAAACGTGAGAAGTTTTTTTTACTGTTCGCAAAGAATTTAATAAAGGAACTTGGTCACTTTGCAAAGGTTTCTTGCCGCTGTGGTGTAGTCGGCCGCTGTGGTGTAGTGGTAAGCAGTGTGCGCTTCCTCTCCGCAACGCCTGGGTTCAAACCCTGGTCAAAGCAACATCGCATAAAATATAGAAAAAAGGTTTTTCTTAACAGCGGTCGTCCCTCGGCAGGCAATGGCAAACCTATGAGTGTATATCTGCCATGAAAATCAGCTTTTCATAAAAATACAATCGCCGTTCGGAGTCGGCGTAAAACTGTAGGCCCCTCCGCTTTGTGTGACAACATCAAGGCGCACGCCACAAATCGGAGGAGAAGCTCGGCCAAACACTAACCTATGTGTAAGCGCCAATCTATATTATTATTATTATCGTCTAATTGTACCTTAATTGAGCTCAGTGTACCGAATGTACCTTTTGGCTCGGATAAGTCGGAATTGTACCTGCTTTTTCATCCCTGCTGGGTACGTATACGAACTGCGACGCGGGCGTTGTTCGCGAGCAAAAATTGTCCAGCTCTGCTTTAAATTCATTACAAGATAATATAACTAGGAATTTCTTCCTCCAATAACAACTTTTAGCCGGCGAAGCCACCGTTTTGCGTTCTAGAAGAGGTGTCTGTTTCCGATGCATTTTTGTCATGTACTGACCAAAACTAAGGAGAATATTTCGAGTTATACTTATTTCCAGTAATAGATTATTTGTCAAACCAATTAAAAATACTGAATTACAAAATTCTGTATTAAAATAATTTCATTTTATTAGTCAATGGTAACAAACCTTACTGACTAGGTTAACAGTTACTTAATAATAATTTAAAAGCGAAATTAAAGAGATGGTTAGTTTGAAAGCAATAAGACTCAATGCGTGACTTAAGCAGAGACCATGGCAGTGATGGAAAAGTTGGCACAATAGTGCCATTTTTGGCACTTTCATTCACAAGGGCACTTTTGGCACAATTCATTCAGTTTTGGCACAATCATAAATTACAGAAGTTTAGCCAGTATATAACAAACAATCATATCGTCGTTTAAAGTACAAAAGAGCGTATCAACAAAATGCAAAACCGCGTATGTTAGGTTGCATAAATTATTTTCTAGAGAGTAAAAAAACTAATTTTTCAAAATGGTTCTCTTTTTTATAAAGCAATCGCATTTCTGAGAGCTTGTGTGGGTAAATCCAATTTTCGGCAGCAAATGTCAGTTACGCGGTTTTGCAGAATGACGATACACGGTTTTGTACTTAAAACGACGATATATTCATAGATTCGAGAAGTGAAAATTAAAATGACTTGAAAATTAAAATAAGGGCCATTATATAAAATTCATAAAAATTTTTCAATATTAAGAATAGTCAAAACTGGTCAAAATGTCGCACTGCTATTATTTCGCACATAGGTATGTATATGTGTAAACAGTTCCGAATAGTTAAATTTAGTTGTTTTTCCCCTTCGTAATTTGAATGTTGTGTTATTTTAATATGATTTTACTCTAATAATTCAATGAATCACTTTTTGGCACTATTTGTGCAGTCCATTAGGCACATTTTGAAATTTTGGAATTCCACCCCTGGACCATGGCATCGCAAAATCGATATCAGTAGTTCTAGAAAGCTGATAAAGTTCGTAAAGCCCTCTTAGGCTATGTTCAAACAGGCCAATTAGCTGAGGCAATTAAGCTTTAAATTGCGGTATTGAGTTTGGTGTTTACACATACGTCAGCTGCCCAAATAGCGATACGAAATCAGCTGCTGGATTACCTACAGTGATGGAAAAGTTACAATCGTACCTTTATTTAGTTTGAAAGTACATTCGGTACAAGCACACAATTTTAGGTACATTTGGAACGTAGCATTTCAGCAAATCCATTCTTATTTTTACTGACATTTCAATGCATTTTCTGGTGTTAGCAATTAGGCTAATAGCTTCCCTCCTTTGTGAAGAGGTATACAAATGATACAGAAGGGTGGTCAAAGTAACACAACTGTAGTTGATTTCGCCAGATAGATTCAAAATATTTCTTTTTAAGACGTCAGATAGAACAACTGGGAGGAAAGTGATTCACCTCTTCTACAACATAGTTTTGTCTCGCGCTGCTCGAAGAGATTCTTTTCATAGCCAAAAATTTGTTTAATGTGAGTACAGAAGTTGCTATGGCATCGATGGGAATTGTTACCTCCTATTTTTCTTTATATAGAAATTTATATTTATTTTTAGGTACATCTATCTACTTTTAGGTAAAGTTTCCCGTAAATTAGGTACAATTTTATACTTAAATTTTCCATCCCTGATGGAATATCAGCTGTAAAAGAGGAACAAAAACAAACAGCTGATTGCTCTTTGTTCAACCAACATACCTCCAAGTCAAAATTAAACATACCTAGCAGGGTTGCATAGAAAATCTGACACAAATTGATTGCCAATTAATTATTAATTGGCAATTAATAATTAGAATTTTTGCATGATAAATTGTGTAACAATTAAGGTCTAAATTGGTGAAAAGGTTCTTAATTGCCAATAAGGTGCCTGTTTGAACATAGTCTTACAAGAGGGGCAAATCTAAATAAGTTCGATCTTAACACTTCAGTATGAAATAGGTTGTGAGAGCGAAGTACTCTATTAGGAACAATGAATCTTGGCTGCCCAAGTAGAGCTGGTCAGTCAATTGTACCGGAGATTTAATCGTATATGTATAAATATTGAGGTTGTTACCTGGTTATCAGGTTGTCTGGTTATCTATACTAATATATATTTTGAAAGCCGTTTTTTTCTGTTCGCAAGGCACAAGATCGGCTGTACCGATTTTTTTGAAATTTTGGTTATAGGTTCTGGATGGGCTTCTCATTGTCTTAGGCAAAAAAAACGTTTAAATACTTCTTAAAAATGAAACTGCATGACTTTAAAAATCCTCTAGAATCTAACACACATGCCCACATAACAGCGCTGTTCACCAGCAAATCCCAAATAAAAACGCCCTCTGCGGTTAATTTTTAGGGAATACAGCGCAAAACAAGGGTTATGTATACATATTCATACGTGCTAATGTTAACGTTAATGTTGATTCTTATGTTAAAAATAAAAACAAATATGTAACTATCTACAGCTCATGGATAAATAATGTAGGGAATTACATATGTATGTACAAGGAGCAATTAACATTGCTGTTAGCACTTACATTCGGCCCTCGTTGGAATCAGCGGGGCGCTCCGGACCCCTCCAACTCTAGCACTAAATGCTATGCTCAGCGTCGCACCTGTTGACATCGCGGGAAGAGTAGCGGCGGTTCGCTCGGCCATTAGGCTCAAAAACTCGGGGTTCTGTTTGAACACAGCACACGGCCACTCGACGATTCTCAAAAGTTTCGATTTCCTACCGGAAGAAATGGACTGGCGTGTTCCGAGGCTGGCCCCAAACGGATCTTTCTCCACGCATATTCCTCCAAGGAGCGAATGGGAGAATGGCAGTCTCTGAAACAGGGGTCCAATAAACATATTCACGGACGGATCGAAGCTGGAGGGAGAGTCGGTGGAGAGGTCTACTGTCGAGAACTCTGGATAGCTCTTATGTTCAGACTGCCGGACCTCTGCAGCGTCTTTCAAGCAGAGGTGCCCGCTATAAAAGAGGCAGCCGATTGGCTACGCACCAAACCCCTACCAACAAGGAGGGTGAATATCTACTCTGATAGCCAAGCGCCAATTAAAGCGTTGGGATCGCTTATGGTGCGATCGAAACTGGTCGGGGAATGCCTGACCTCTCTCTCAAGTGCCTCGGAATACTTCCAAATCAAGCTGATTTTGGTACCGGGATACAGTGGCATCACTGAAAACTGCAGGGCTGATGAATTGGATAGGCAGGGCACCCTCGAGGCCATTACCTCGGATAGGGAGGGCGTAGGAATTCCGTTGGCAACCTGTGGCCTGCTTCTGGACAGATGCGCTCACAGTTGTCTCAGCGAGCGGTGGGCAAAAACCCCGACATGCAAAGTGGCAAGGTCCTTCTGGCCGGTTGTCGACCGCGGGCGATCAAGGGAGCTTTTGCAGCTGGCTAAGCGCCACCTCTCAATTCTCACCGGTGTACTGACCGGACATTGTCCTTTAGGAACCCACGCGGTGCGACTTAACACCGTCACAGATCCCTACTGCCGCACAGTGTTTTAGTGAAATTTCACATAGACTCTGGCAAAAAACGGCTAAAATGTTTTAGTGAAAATTCACATGCTTTATTTAAATAAATCGCAAGAAACGAAAGACTAGTTAACACCATTAATTTATATCGAGTGTATATTCCTCATCATCAAATGAATCACTATTGTATATATCACCTGAATTCATTAATTTTAAGAGATCGTCATCTACAGTAAAATTATGGCAGCATTTTTCTTCACGTTTTAAACCGTATCTTATATATAAAATAGCGTTTAACGTTTTAACGCACATTGGATTTCTTTGCTTAGTTTTTATTATATTCATTGAACTAAATATTCGCTCTACGTCTGCATTACTTATAGGCAAAACAAGAAAACTAAAAACTAGGTTGGAAAGGTCAGCAAAAGGGTTTTCTCCTAGAGCATTTCGAAATTGATAAACTTCGGCCCAAAATTTTACAGTTGAGTCTAAATTACTCCAGGTATGTAACGTTAACCGTTGCCATTGCATCTCTATGGATGTTATTTCGTCGGCATTATATTTGTGTTTTTGTTGCTGTAGTTGAACAAATACTTTTGGTTTAATTACTCTTAATGCATTTCCAACCGAAAAAAGTCAATTTTTTTTAGTGTGGCAATATTTGTAGGGAGGCGTTGGCGTAATTCCTTTATTAAAGTGATAATAAAATAGCGACCATTTTCTCGAAGTATTTTCTCGGCTTCGTGGTCAAAAGCGTTTGTGCTTACTTTTGTTTTTAAATACTCTTCAAAACTGTGATAAAACTGAGGAAATGGAGCAAGGTATGGTTCCAACAGGGAGCATATAGGATCAAATGTGTCCGCGCTAATAACCACTAGGAGCATAGATGCGAAAGTAAAACATTGAGTTCATTAAAAATCTTCATTGGGTCTGCATTATTGCTTTCGAACAACTGGTTTACTTTTTGCGCCTGAAAATTAGGCAAATAGTAAAATCGGCTAAAAACGGCTAACTTTTTTTTACAAACCGGCTAACAAATCGGCTGCCGCTAGATCGAATTTTCTCCGGCTAGTTGCTATCAAAACCGGCTAAATCTAGCCGGAAAACGGCTAAAATGGCAACGCTGCTGCCGCAGCTGTTTGGAAGATGAGGTGGAATCATCTCACCTTCCTTCTCAGCTGCCCGGCATTCGCAATACTAAGGTTTAAGCACCTCGGTGCTCATTTCTTCAACACTCCTGAAAAGCTCTCCGGAGTGGACATCAGCTGCCTGCGGAACTTTGTTCTGAGCACCCAGCGCTTCTCTTAGCTTCTAACACAGAATATCTTAGTTGCCATTCAAAGAACTTGTGTAAATGTGGTAACACAATGGACAATCCAATTAATGTCTAAGTGAGGCCCCCTGGTGGGGTCTGCCACAACAACCTAACCTTACCTAGCACTTATATTTGTATATGAATATTTATGTACATACATATATACATATATACAACTAGCTGTACCCTGCCACGTTTTGCTGTGGCATATTCCTGTTATCTGGTTTGTCGACACAGGCACACGCAACATCTGAGAAGCAATCCGCATCTAAATCTAAACCATATTTTTCTAAAGTTCGACCTGGAGCATTATTGATTGTGATTCCGAATGTCAATCGAATTGGGAATTGCAATCATTTAAATTGAAATGGTATATCGGTCGGAATCATGGGAATTCTTCACCTTTGAAAGGCCACGTTAAAATCTTTACTAACACTACTTTCTTCATCAATTTCTTAAATGCGAGTCGCGTGCCGTTGCAAAGTTTTAGCTGATTAATATTCTGCAACATGATAATTGTCACACCTATTCTTAATTTCAGTATGTGTGGTCTCTCTGGAAGATCAATCGAGTTCAAAAATTCCGTTGCATAGTCTTCTTCCACAACGGTGTTTATCGACGTATATGCTATTTCCTCACGTTGAATGCTGGATTGAATAATATTAGTGGTATTCACCAAAATGAGCAAGTGGCCTGGCAGTCTGGTAAAAGAGCAGACCAGCTCAAGCAACGACTGTTGTCAAGACCACTGTTATTTAGATGATATACATCCTTATTCTTCGCAACAAGAACAGCCCGTTCACTGAACCAATCGAGATTCCTATAATTAATTTTCTTAATAAAGAAACATTCTTTCGATCAGTTCTCCTTTCGATGTTCTAAGTTACAAAAAATATCAGGCCATAAAATTCGTCTTAATCTCTCATTGACTGGCAGCTTTCCGTTCCCAATGTCCAGTAATTTTCGCGAGAATACCTCGGCTGCAGTGTATGTATGTTCGTCTTGTCGCAATGTTGACTATTTGAGGCAAGCATTTATCTCGTCCGCTAGTGTTAATCGAGAAACTACAGATAATGTCCTGCTAGCAATATCAATGCATTCCCGAATGGTTGAACGTTTCCACGCAAATCTCGCAACAATCGATCAAAGACCTCAAGCGATGTTTTATGTGCCATGTTGCACTCATCCCAAACAATGAATTTACATTTTTGTGACACTTTTTCCACACCGGATGCTCTGGAAATATTGCACCTGCGAGTTTCGATGATTTATATGTTCAATGGCAG